ATTTTTATGAAAATATGGCAAGTATTATTGAGATGAATATAGGTCTTACTTGATGATAAAGGATCTTGTGTGGTATGTATAATAAATCTTCAGACAATATTTTTGAAGTTTGGTTCCAAACAAAATCAGGACGGCTTAGTGACGAACAAAGAAGCATGCTAACAAACATCTTTCGTAATGATCTCCCAGATGCCCAAACTGACGCCTCCTTAATGGCATTTATGTATTCACTATCATCGTGTAATAATCCAAGAGCAAAGCACGTAGCTCTAAAAGTGGAATGCACAACACCATCCACTGTTCTAATCTTTTCAAATGATGAAGGACCTCTAACCTTAGTTAAGAGGATTCGTAGATAGTAAAGTTCACCAGATGAAGGAGACACATGAGTAATCCTTCCTATGGCAAATCCCTTCTGTCTAATTTTCCAACATCGTTTGCTTCTTTGGTAGACAAAATATTGTGGAAACTCAGAATAAGTAAGAGTTTTAGCTAAATCATTATCATGATTCATTTTCATCCAAGTAAGGAACATTGACTCACAGACACGGCGCTTATTAAGTAGGTCCTCAATATCATCAGCATTAGAATAAACAACACATTGTTGGTTAGGTAAATGGAAGCTTAACCTTTCAACAGCCGGATACCTGTGGTGTATATCAAAGGCAAATATGCGCCAAGCTGCCTCACAAGCTGAGATATACCTAAAGTTGTAATACTGTTGAATCTCATCAATCGGCCGCCTGAAGATCCGTCCCCAGCGCTCTCATAAATAGATGCACAACTCTATCATTTCCCTTACTAATATACTTGAATAAGTACTTGATTGCAGATGACTGGTTACACTTCTCAACATTAATATGAGCTTCAAACATAGATAACAATGTGGGGTTATAAGGCACAATAAACCGGTTATCCAGAGGAATGCCTTTGACTTCAATTGTCCTCCCATCATCTCTCCTCCTATATGTAGGATATCCATCATCATCAACAATAGTTTGTTCCACAAAGTTCTTGGGAAATACTTGCTGCACTTATTATCCTTCATGCAAGGGGACTTAGGGTTTGAACGACCACATGGGCCATGTATCATGAACCTCTTAACTAAGTCATACAACTGTGGTTCTTCATCCAAGTTAGGTATTTCTGCAGAGATTACCCTATCCACATCCTCCGGATATTTAGGTTGATCACGTTGATCTAGGAACAACAAAATGTGTGCATGTGGAAGTCCTCTTTTTTGGAATTCAATCGTATGAACGTCTGCATGAATAATAAATGAGTAAGCAATAAGCAATAGATCATTAAAGTATCTTGACATTATCATAAGAAGAGAACAAAAATTTGACTCACCTGCAATAACAGTACCAAATATCTTCTTCTTCTTGATTGTATCCATAAGAGCCTTAAGCTTTATATGGAAAACCCTACACAATATCCGGCCTGTTAGCACTAGATAATGATTCATTTTCCATCAATCGTGTGACCTCTTGCCAAGCTGGATTACATGTAAATGTAATGAAATACTCGGGTAACCTGCCCATCTACAAATAGCCATTGCATCTTTATAGTTGCCAACCATATATCGTGCCCCTCCAGTGAAGGAAGATGGAAGATTATAACGCTTCCCCCTGGACGATGACTTCTTTCTCCCAGTTAATAGCGCATCTGTCAATCCCTGATACAAATCTGCCCTAAGTTCCTTCTGGTGCGTTCTGACCCATAATAACTTTGAGCTTCTATCATGGTATAACCATCAACTATGAATTGCTGGAATAACTTCTCTGCATGAAGTATGGTTGACATCTCATTTTCCCTCATCATCAACCTATATGCAAAATACTCTCTAATACTAACCCGCCTTTTCTTCTTAGTATTAGAAAGAGTCTCTTCACGATGTTCTATATTGTCACGATAACCATCCTCACCTCTAGGAAACAATATTGGGTATTGGAGTGGAAGATAGAAAGGATGCAATTCATCAATACGTTGTGGCAAGCCTGACAACTTGTGAACTATAACATCTCTTCTATACCGAAATTCATATCAATGTCACCAACAATTAAAGCAGCAACCTCTGAAGTAGACGGCAAATTGTAATTTCCGCCCATCCTTCGTTCTTGTACTGATCAAACAAATTTTCACATCAGTGTTTTGGTCATTCTTGATCATTGATGATGCTGCTCGATATTGTTTTACAAAAGGTTGGCATCATCAAGGGTTTTCTTGATATGATCAACAATATTATTATCAATGGCTGATTCTTTCATATGCTTGCTGCATGAACAGATTGAATTATCTGTTAATATAACTAATGATACTAAAGAAAAAATGCAAATCAGCAAGAAGTAACCTTCTTAACCAAAAATTTACCTTACAGCAGATATACGGTTGCATACTTCATTGTCAGTATCATATATGTACAGTTGGGAGTAAACAGCTTTGATCCTTTAGGAGGTAATAAACTTCCAATCCTATGGTAGTTAATGCCAGACAAAACAAATGAATAGGGACCACCACCAGAGTTCTTTGAGTAATCAATTTTACCACCCATAGAAGTAAAGGAGAACATATTGTTATAAGTTCTTATATTTGTGAGGAAGTTTCTTGAAGATGGTGTCTTCTTGTCAAAAAATAATCTTACAAACTGATCTAGAGGAGGAAGCTGAACTTTTCCTTTAAGACAGTACATTGAGAATGATGGGTTTCTAGCATACTTGTTTGATCCAACTTTCTCATTGAACCACATTAGTGCACCACATCTTTGGCATTTAAATGTAGGATCCCCTATATCAACATATCCTGCAACTACAACAACCGCATATCCTTAATGAACAGAAATTGAACCCATGCACTGATGCGAAGGAGAAAAAAATCAGGTATAATAATGACACTGCATACATTTCAGAACTTCATATCCTTCTCAACTCAATTTCTGGCAATTACTTGTTTCCTAAAGAGGGCCAAGTATGACCTTTCATGATCATGTGCAGGAAGATCATTTATCTGATTATTTCACATCTTTCTAAGTCTACTTCATCAATGCTGTGACTTGCGTAAGGAACATGTAAATGGGAAAATTTGAATAAGAACTCAATAATTGGAGAATTTCTCATTCCAATAATTGTTTCACAGGTTGATCAGCTATGATTATATTATGTTACTATGTAAAAGACAATATATCAGAAAGAATTCAGCATGTCTAACCTTGTGTGGCTTTACCATTGTACGCCTTCATAGATGTATGGTCAGGTTCAATGAATGTTAAGGTATTTGAAGTTTGATCACCTGAAAAGCACATATGTTAATTTATACCAACATGTATTATACCTAGTGTGCAAGTGCAACGTTGAGTGGATGATATTTATACTTAATTCAATAATAAGATAAGGGAGTTTTTATTGAACTCATGTCCATGTACAGCAAGATCATTTATCTGATCAGTTGATAGCTTTCTAAGTCAACTTCATCAATGCTGTGACTTGTGGAAGAAACATGCAAATGGGAAAATATGAATAAGAACTCAATAATTGGAAGATTTCTGATTCCAATGATTGTTTCAGAGGTTGATCAGCTATGATTATATTATGCTACTATGTAAAACACAATATATTAGAAAGAATTCAGCATGTCTAACCTTGGCTATGTGTGGCTTGACCATTGTGCGCCTTCACAGATGTATGGTCAGGTTCAATGAATGTTAAGGCATTTGAAGTTTGATCACTTGAAAAGCACATATGTTAATTTATACCAACATGTATTATACCTAGTGTGCAAGTGCAACATTGAGTGGATGATATTTATACTTAATTCAATAATAAGATAAGGGAGTTTTTATTGAACTCATGTCTATGTGCAGCAAGATCATTTATCTAATTAGTTGACAGCTTTCTAAGTCAACTTCATCAATGCTGTGACTTGTGGAAGAAACATGTAAATGGGAAAACATGAATAAGAACTCAATAATTGGAGAATTTCTCATTCCAATGATTGTTTCAGAGGTTGATCACCTACGATTGTATTATGCTACTATGCAGAAAACAATATTTAGGAAAGAATTCAGCATGTCTAACCTTGGCTATGTGTAGCTTTAGCACTGTGCGCCTTCATAGATGTATGGTCAGGTTCAATAAATGTAAAAGTATTTGAAGTTTGGTCACCTGAAAAGCATGTGTGTTGATTTATACCAACATGTATCATACTTAGTGTCCCAGTGCAACATTGATTGGATGATATTTTTACTTCATTCAATAATAACATAAAGGAGTTCCTATTTAACTCGCAGCATATATGTCAAACAAAACTTTTTCTGCCCATTATTCTTGGAGTAATACTGTTCAGGAGAAGGGGAAAAATAAGATTACTGAATTTCCAAATTTAATATTGATAATATGTTATTAACCCTCACCATTATCATACTCATCTATACTAACTTCACTGCCAATGTCACAAGGTCCGTCAAAACAAAAGCTTAGATTCCTATACCGTGCCTCAGCATTTTCTGCAACAACATCTGCAGAGATAACCAATAACCAATATAATCAAGTGATGTCTAACCAAAAGGGGAATAAAACTAATCAAACCTGTGGTTGAACATGATGGAATCATGCCATCCATTTGTTCTGGTATGTGTGAAGTAAGATAATTGATATCTGGCGACAATCAATGATTTGAATTGTTAGAACGAAAGGATAGATAGAGGGTGCATACTATATTAAACACAGATGTAATGTCTACTGGAAAGAAGGATTTGACATTTTCTGCGATACTGCAATTACCATTTCTAATGCAGATACCATGCTGGATTATTATTATCTGTTCACAGTGAGTGCACTGGATTATTAATTTTGCAAATTTACAAATGATAAGGACATGATATATTGGCCAAATAAACCAAATGATAGTTTCGAATTACTATTTCTTGTGTGCGCTGTTAACTATGCATTCATATAACCTGTTCGCTACCTTCCATTAAGTCAACTGAACCTGCTAGGAACCTGTAGCTTAATGCAAAATCTCTTCATGATTTGGATTAATCAGTTTTAGTTCCCACCTTTGCCATGTATGCTCAACATGTAACGTAATGGTGACAATACTGTTAAGAAAGACAACAATCTAATATGCAGTCTGTATAGATAGAATTGATAGGTGCATATTTCATAATGCTATACTTCCGCATGGACAACACATATCACAGAAGCTCCTAAGGTTAATGAAAATCAGGGATGGTAACGGTCATAATTTTTGATTTAGAAATCACTGATAGATATTTAAAATGCTGATAATCTATTACCTACAGTATCCTCTGTTAGTACAAGGCCTTCATTACGTTGATTGAGATTCTCAAATGCTACTAATCTACTGCTTCTTCGCCTAACTACACTGTTCCTGAACTCAAGTTCTCCTGGTACAATAGGAAGCATAATTAGATAGCCTTAGTAGTAGAAGAATGCATGAGATATAATCGTAGCAGAAAAAACTTATGAACTTGATAATGATTTACCAGGCCTAGTATAGTTCTGGAATTCAGTTTCCAAATTTGTTGCAACATTTGAAATGTCCTTAAGTGCAGGTCTTCTTGGCTTGCACCTATTCGATGGGTTTGTATTTCTTTGCAGAACATCATTTTCCTGAGTGTACATCTCTGGTCTGCCATTAGCATTTCCTAAGTACACTGGACAATCTATAATAGCACAATGATTCAATCATTCACTACAAATTTACAAAGGATGCCCAGTACATGAACATAACCACGAGACGACATTTTGACCATACCTGCATTCCTTTTTGGAAAATTTGCGTATGTGGTCCCTGAATGATTTCTTGGTCTGGTGATTTGTCGTGGACTGTTCTCAAGAAAGGTAAAAGTCTCATGTGGAATGTATGAAGGTTTCCTCTTCATGTGTTTTGCAGTATTTAGATTTGCTATGGATATACTTTACTCTGCACTTTTAGTAATGGTTAACAGAGAAGACTTCATGCAATTCGTAATGAACAAAGAAAATAAGTCATAAAAATCAAGCCAACTATCGGTAGCAATGAATCCCTACTATTTGTAGAGCAAATAAGTCTGCACCAGTGTAGGCTATATTGGCATTGATAAATGGATTCAGTCAAATCATTGCACTGCTCAATGTTTACAGCTGGAAAAAAAGTAACCAGCAACTTTTGTGGGTTGAACTATGTCTTTAAGTAATAAATATTTAAGGAGCTGCATTAAGATAGTAACTTAAGGTCATTGATATGTTATCAATTCGAAGAATCATGGGCCCATTTCATATAAAGCATTGACTACATTTTAGCTAATTCTATGACCAATAAAAAAAAGCTACAAATGAGCAAAAAAATACACGTCTGCAAGAAACACCTAATGCAGCAAAATCCACACATGCAACTCTGCCAACCTCATTTGCATCTTTTATTCCTAAAGGTTTGGGCTTGAGAATGGCCAATTAAAAACAACCATCGGGCTTTATTCAATTGTGGGAACAAAAAAAGGCATGTCAGGCCATGCAACACGGACAACCTCATTTTGGGGCAAAAATAATCTCAGCCAAGATTGGAGGAATTGCAAGTGTCAAGTGGCGCAATTTTATACCACTCTGTTAATTATTACTGTTTATTGTTGGGGTTGTATTTATTCTAGGCCCATCTGAGTCAATTGTTGCACCAACTACAGTAAATGTTAAACTCCAAGTGATGTTTGATATGTCATTATCGAATTTCAGTTTAACATATTACTACCAACTACTGATAACAGGTATTTATTAAAGCCAGAATTGAAGCTTAAGCCTCAGCATCATTCCCAGTTGAATTTTGTTTGAAATAGAACCATCAATATTAATACTTAAGATAGCCATGCCATTCAAATAACACAGATAACATACGTTTAGTCACCAGGTCCATGAAGCCAAGTGACACACAAAAAGACATTGCATAAATTAAAAGACAATCAACTACGTAGCCACATAGAAGATCCTACATTCCTAATGAAGAAACCAGAAACCAGCTGACATGGTCTCATAAGGACTAATCCAAAAGATGACAATGACAAGACATGGCAATAACACTAAAATTCTTCAGTTCTTCTCTTGCTTGATGCTCTTTAAAGGCTTGGACGATGTCTTGATAGGTGAGGCATTGGGTGAACGAACCCATTTCTCCTTAACTCCAATGATCCTCTTCCCAGCTACCTTCCTCTTTGGCCTGTAAGTTGAGGGGCCAGCTATCCTAGACAGAGGTATCTCCTCAATGCCGGGGCTGTCTTCATCATTCTCGTCGATGGCAACATTAGTAACTTCATTCAATACTAGTGGGTCAGCAGTGACAGATTCAGGAACGACTGTGTCAGTGGCCTATAAACATTGAGGAAACAAACAACACATTATCTCCAAATGTTAGGGAATTAAAACTTTAGCAACATGTTTATATCTAAGTACCTCTTCTTCAGCATGGGTGTTCTGATCGCTAACCTGTACATGGCAGGAACATTTTTTTCCAAAAAAACTGTAAGTTGAAATTGAAAGTTGAAAAACAAACAAAGCCCTTAAATTGGAACTTCAATATAATAGTGTCTTGCCTCATTGAATTCATCCATCAAATCAGTGCACTGTGTGAATGATGCAACAGATATGCCAGAATTTGGGAAGTCAACGTTATACTTGTTCAGCTTAAGTTTCAACAGCACCGTCTTTCCAACCATTAGGTCTAGCTCATCAGGAAAATCATATTCACGTTCCTCCTTAAGAAGCATAATACACATTTTTAATTTTTAAGTGACGCAAAGCCATGACTACACTATACATGATCAACAGAAATAATCCATTACCTTAATAAGAGTGTGATTCATCTCAAGTGCAGTCTTTTGGAAGAAATTAGAAGCAAGTTTGTCAAAGAAGACTACAGTTGCCTTGCCAGATGAATCCTCAACCGTGTAGTGGACCCTTAACCTATAAATAGTACTCATTATTAACCTTAATTAAGCGAAGCTCGCACCCATAAAAGATTTCTGAAGATGAGGTGAGTTAAAGTTGTACTTGGGTTCAAAAGTCACATGTCCTTTCTTGCAATTAATGCATGTTTTTTTCCCACTCACACTCCTTGGTTTGCTGCCACACCTGGAGCAACCTTCATAGCACCAGCCATGCCTCGTGTCAACTTTGACTACTAAGCACTTTATGAGGAAGAACGAATCCTATCAAACATTTACAGTGATCAAACCAGTAATCTACCATATCACAGGTTAAGAAATTACTAAAAATAATGAAGTCTGAAAATACTTACAGCTGGCTGATTGCATATGTCTGCAACAAAAATCAAAGGATGGTTACGGAGCAGGCTAGTTGCAGACTGATCATTTGATTGTGTAGTAGCAGTATGAGAGATTGTGCTGATAGTAGGAGAGGGTAATGTGGTAGCACTGCTCCAATGATACGGATCAATAATTAATAAGTTATGGTTTATGGGAATAAAATGACATATGAGAATGGTCAACATTGGTGTGGGACATGCCAATGCACTATACCTATCGATAAAATGCTTGACTTCTGGAAACTTTGGATTGCATGAAATCTGGGTGGCATGGTATGAGCTGCAAATCTCAGCCATACCTGAAGGAAAATGGCAAGTATAAAACATAACAGTTACTGAGGACGAACTACACAAAAGAATATCCAAAATGAGTACTGATGAATCACCATCATCATCAAATCCAATCCTTCCAAGCTGCATAATCATCACAACAGGAGATTGCATGGTGCTAATATCCATCATGCAGACATTGGTTGCACAGTCATCATAAAGAACGCAACCCACAGTATTGCCACTGAAAGAAATAATCATTTACAGATAAGTTTACTCAAGGTTTACCAAAAATGAAACACCATTTATGTAAGATACTCACAGCTCATCTACCAGCAACAATCGCAATTTGTTCTTGATCTCATTGTTAGACTTGTACTCCTCTAGATGCCCAATTGATGCAACGAATCCAATGACATCTAACAGAGGAATATAATAGTAAACCAGATGACTAAGTAGTGGGGAACAATAGTCGAACTCATAAAGGAGGAAAACCTGAACTTAATATTACACTTACCAATAAGATAGTCAACATGGTTGCTCTCCTTCATCTTAATTATGTCACGAATAGGGAAGAAATGATAAGAGTATTCAGGTATTTGGGCAAGTACTTCCTTCACATATGTGTAAGTACCTAGTGTCAGTTTGAAAGCATGGTTTGTTGCCCTGTACTCCTTATTATTTGGAGAGACGACGAAATTAGCCATAAAATAAGTTATCCCTTCCACTGCCATGGCACTAAAACGATCAAATAGGTTTTTGTTCATGATAGAAGCTTGGATTCTTGTCCCCTATTTGTTGCCAACACAAGAAAAGGAAATAAGGTAAGTAGTGTGTGCATATTGACAGAGGGAAAATTATTTAGGTAAAGGGATATAAAGCATTCTAACCTCTTCGTCTATCAGTAGCATGGACACAAAAAACCTCAGTAGGAGACTCCTTCTTGTAGACATTCCACCTCCTGATCACACGAACTGTAATTCTCCATCTGTCAGTTGAGTCATTGACTTCCTTCAGCAGAGAGCACTTCTTGGCAGCCATTTTTGGGACCACAACGAATAACTTAAGTTGCTGACTTATGAAAGAAAGTAGGCTTATGCAGGAGTGTGTGAAGCCAATAGCACATATCTGACTTTATAGGGAAAGAAAGCTGTAAATCGACAAGAGTGGAAGCTAAACTTCCATCGAGTTGAGATTTGAGGTCCTCAACTGAGAGTGGCTACTTAATTATTATGTTTGAAATGGACCAGAAATAAGCCATCATAAAAATTCGGCTGAACTGACATTTACATGCTAAATATTGCAGCCTATGGATGTATGTGTCAGATATGTACGGATGACCTTTGTTGAGACGTGAGGTTTTTTCTAATTTGTTTGGGTGACTGAGTGGAATTTATGCAATACACTCTTAATTCCTAATTCTAATTTCTTGTCTGATTTTTAGTGTACCTGAGCTTTTTGTATAAAATGATTTTATGGCAACATATTGTACATGAGCTTGTGTTTTTTCTATTGCAGAATATGTAATCAGAAAAAAAGATGTATGGAACCAAATCTCCTACTGAGATGATTTGCTGCTTACACGGATAGCAAGAGGTTATCACCATTACAGTAGAGGCCATAAAAAACACTAAGGGATAGATCCAGCAAATAAGAAGGAGAAGTAGGGACTAAAGCTACGGTATATGCATAAGAAGATCTACTATTAACCATTAAGATTTGGATATGCCTTTGGGATATGCTGTGATAGAAAGGCTACATCATACCTTTATGGCACACAAAATATCACATGGAGCCCCGTGAGCCGTCTCAGGACTGGAATAGATTAATCCAAGCTCTAGCAGCATGAAAAAAGATTGCTTGTCTATTGATACAAACCAAGAATAAATCCTCATGATGGATACTGATATGCGGCAGATCAGCAAATCGCCCACTCTGTATGTATTAGCTGTGCTGAATCATAACATAGCTATGAAGGCCATTGAGACAAGCATTAATGAGACAACGCTGGTAAAGATCAGTAAAATCCCATCATCTATGGCCCTTCAATTTATAGGATCATCTGTCCTGTACTATCACAATATATTAACCTTCTAAATCAAATTGAAGAATGGCCTATGAATGTCTTGAATCATGCACAACTAACCACAGTTTATTATTGACAAACATTGCGAAATTAAAGTAAATGCTCAAAATGTTCACCTCACATCTCTACACGACATGCATATTAAATCAATAGACTGAATGACTTAAATATAATTTTTTTCTCACGTACACACACACAGCATAGTTGAAGAAAAATGGGTCAGAATGGGCTGACTG